TTCTATTTACAGGTGTTAGGATAATCATATGATCTTTCATTGCAGGTGTAACCATGATTGTTTTATACATATTGCAGTTTGTTGCTCATCATAGAGTTGTGCTCAAGTTAATAAGGGTTAAAAGCTACAGTCAGCGCGATGTTTGGCTGATCTATGGACTGGAGTGACTTTGAGCATAGAAGGCCGCACGCGCTTACATAACACTGATATCATGCTATTCTTTGTGATCTTTTATTCAGTTATATCTTTAAGTTAAGTTTTAAGTAGTGGCAGTTGATTAAACAACATTCATTTTATATTACATACCTGATTCAGAGGATTACACACAGATCAACTTAACAATCTGCAAAAACCTTGTAGCTGCAATGTTGTGTCTCCATAAGGGACAGTTGGCTCCAGGAAATAAGTGGGAGTCAGTGCCTGTCCTCGTGGAGGAGAGAATGTTCCTTTGCTGTGTCAAAAGTAGTCAAAAAGTTCATATTCAAGTGAAGTTCATATTATTACAGGTTTTGTTTCATGGCGATTCTGCGGACGCAGGCTCTGGGCGGAGCCAGGAGTTGAACAGATCTAACATGACAATTAAATTGATTTCATTCCCTGGCACAGGATGACAGGACTGGAGCAACGACACTGGTTAGGAGAAGGTCTGATACTTTCTGAGATATGAGGTCACTAACCTTTTCTTTTAATTTTCTAGCTCCGTTGATTTGACACATGGGAATGTGTCAAAAAAGGGGGGAAGTCGAGTTTTAACATCAAACAAGGGGTATATGAACATTTTTATGACTTCATTTGTGTTTTTAATAACTCAGGTATGGATATTAATAAAGAAAAAGCAATAATTCAAAGTATTGCGGAGATTAGAATATTATTTTACTGTTACTACATGTATTTCACACAGGTATTTGTACTTATGTAACAGCACATGACAAGTATTACTACATAAACTCCTCAGTGAGTTATTATGCAGAGCAGAGCTGGTCTGAGCTGCCAGCTGTGCTGTAAATGCAGTGAGGGCGCCCCCTGCTGTTTAACGATCAGTACAACAGTGTGTGAGAACAGCTCCCTGCCTGTCTGATGTCACTATCTCCACAAATACATGTGTTTCTGTCACGTTGTTCTAATGTTGTTCTAATCTAAACAAAACCAAAACACCTCTCCTCCTAGTCTAATAATCTAATGTTGTTATCTACTGACCTTCTAGTGATTCAGAATTGGTTTAGAATATTCAGAATGTCCCAGGGACTTATTCTAATCATATCCTATGTGTGTGTAAGCGTGTTTGCATTTAGCCCTCTGCACTCAAAGTCAATACCTGCAATATATCAGTCCGGACCATCACGCCGAACGAAGCTTATGACCTTCAAAAGACCAAGTGCCAACTCATTATAAGCACATTTGCAAGGTGTGTCTGAAAATTATTAAAACCACTCTTTTAACAAAAGACATCAAAAACAAATTAGCCATTCTTACTTCTAACATTTGCCCCCCAAAAATCATGTGTTTGCTTCCGCCTACTGTCCCACGGTTTCCTCTCCAGTGTGGTACTCAGCTTCTCATGAACACAGGCATTTTATCATCTAAACGCTATTCAGTTCATTTCAATGATTAACGCTTAAACATGGAAATAATGATTTATGCTTCTCACTGGTTCTCTAAAAAAGTCCGGAAACCTTTTGGGTCATTATTAGCTTAAGTTTTACTATTCATAACCATTATCATTACTGTTGCATCACTTATCGTTTATCATTATCATTTCATCAGAGCATTTATTGAAGCTGTTGATGTTACATTAAAGTCTGTATTTCAGGTGTGAACTTAATTACATAATAATCTTTCATTGCAGGTGCAACTGTAATCATGTTATCCATATTGCATTTTTGTGCTAATTAAAGAGTTGAAGCTCGGTCAGTTGATGGTCTGAAGCTTCGGGCAGCGCGACTTCCGCCCGATCAATTGAGAAATTCATCGAGCTATGAAAGGATTGCATACATGCTTACAATACAATACACCACATATAACCTGTAAACAGAATACAGGCCTGTGTGCACTCAGCAGCCTGCTGCATTGGAGTTTGCCTGGTAACAGATGACTCAGAATAGGTCATGCACTGAGGTCAAGACACACATAGGCTGCCTGCACACATACACAGTATCTAGACTTGTTTTGCTCGAAACTGCAAAGTTGTTTTACCTGCATACGTGACAGTTTAGTTCCACAGATAAGTGAAGTGCAGTAAATGAAATAACAGGAAGCATCTGGCGGTGGCGGAGGAACAGAGGAAGGAACTGTTCTTTTTTGAATGTGTCCAAGCTTGGAATTACTGGAACTGATGCATGTTAGTTATCTGCTTTGACGCATGATGCTCGTCATCAACTATGTTATATATATATATGACTGCACATTTATTGTTCTGGGAAGATCGATGCTATTTGTGTGATCGTGCTCGGCTTCCACATATATGTGTTTAAATAAAATCATTGTTTTGATGCACCTCACTGGGACTTTGCAGTCGTTTGTCTCTTACCTCAAATACGAATTCTGGCACCACTATTCTTTATAAATATGAATTTAGATTTTTTTAATGACTGGATAAAATATGAAAGAATACATGATGTTCCCATCTTACAAGGAGGCCATCATGTCCACATCAATAATCAATTCGTCTCACTGAATTGACTATCAGCCACCATAAAAATACAAAATAATATCACCACATGATTAAAAGAGGACCAAAATAAATGTCAAGAGATATATTCTTAAGTGAGGGCTCTGGGACTCGCCCCCTGCCCCTGGTCATAGTGTGACCCCATAAATAACTTCCCTAAACCTGCTGGTCTGGAAGTCCAGCAGTTCATCTAAACTAAAGGCACTTAGACTAAAACAGACATAGATACGTTTGTCCTTCCATAATACAATAAGAGCAGGTACGACCTCTCCCATCCTCCCAGGATGTGGGCGTGAAAGCCAGAACACTCTGGAATGCACACAAAGCCTTTTCAGACTATTACGGATCACACATCCTATCAAGCATATATGGTTAAATATTTCTTAATACAAATTACAATAATAAAATTTAAACCCATCATCACCACCCAACAGCCTAAGTCATCAAAAGCTCAACATGCAGTATTCTACCATATGCAAACTTATATCATTAAAAGATTATACTGACTACTGAGAACTTTGATAGAAAGGTCATCATATTTTTACTGATCAATCATTTTCATGTCATGTTTAAATGATATAAATTCAATGACATTTCTCACATATTTGGAAAATATGTGAGACATTTTCTACTGTAGAAAAATTTTCTACTGTAGCATTCAGAACCACAAAATTAGTTTCAGACATCAATACCATATAAAGCACTACTGAAACACTATTATACACAGTAAATGTCTTCTGTAACGTGACTCTTATGGTTTTGGGAGGTGGTTTTCCATCAGTCTGTAAACCTGAAAAACTGCATTCTCCCATCGTGACATCATTTGCATCACCAGCTTGCAGTCAGGTGAGATGTACTGATTCCATGTTTTTGAGTCAGATACAACACAGACACACCTGAGCGAGGACGTCCAGTCTCCTCACACTTTCTTGCCATCATTTTAAGGTGAAACAACAATGACAGGTGAGTTAAAACAAACACAGCAGCTTTTATTCCTGGGTATTTCTTCTGGACAATGACGTTTTTCTCATTTCTGACAAAAATGAAATTGCATTTTGAAAATATTTATGGAATTAAAAATGCTAAACTCAGAATGTTGTTGGTGTCAGAGGAAGACTCATTCTGAGCAGCATGTTAAAACTAGAAATACTGCTACTGTGCCTTGTTATTACAGGTAAGGGCTGATAGCTGGCAAGATGTGATGAATGTTCAGTCCTTCTAATGTTTGATGGTAATGAACAAAACCTGTGAGCTTGTCTATGTGCCATGAAACTCTGAGGAAGACCACATCAGCTCAGGACTCTTCTCCTGTCTCTACAAAGAAAGAAAACACTAATTATTGTTCGCATTATCTGACTTAGACACAAACTGAATTATTTTTCTTGATTTTCAACATGTTTGTCCTTTTTCACTGGAAATATGAGTGGTTCAGATTCAGGCACAAGTCCTCCCTGAGTTTCTATCCATCAACATGATGAAAATTAAATAAACAAACTAGTGCTTTCAAAAGTAATGCATTAACACAGATTAAGCTGTCATCACAATTAAATTAATTGCAGAAAATTGTGCGATTAATTCGTTTTTTTTTTAAGTCTATTGACCGCACTAAAAGAAACACTTTCAGCTAAAGCTGTTGGAAAGTCATACAAACTATCAAACGGTGGCTAAAGCTACATCATTAATCCTTTTCATGTTTCATGAAGTTTCTTTCTGTGTGGACGAGTTGATCAGCCTCAGAAAGCTTTATTAATCTTTTCAGTGGAACAGACTACGGCAGGAGCATGAAACAGAGAGCTCTGGGGTTCCGGGTCTGCAGCCTCACCATCACTGAGTGAATGCAGTGAGCTGTTGTTTCAGGCTTAGCAGAGGGACTGACGACAGCTTACCAAAAGATTGCATTCAGTTAAAGGAATTTGTATTATTGTTCATGCACGTCAATAACTTCCTGGAACATGGAGATGACTCATTTTCATGGCATTAACTCTACCTATTCATTTTCTGCTGTGAAAGCTGAAATGTCAGCTGTGCAGAAACAAGTCCAGATAAGTCAAACACACTTTAAACAAAGTAAGAGTTGTCACATTGGGCTGGCGTTACAGCAACTGGACAGTCATACTGGTAACCACACTAATAAACACATTTACAATATAAAATATGTGATTGGAAGTTATACTGAGTCCTTACCTGATCATGAATTCTGACTATGTTGGAGTCTTTCTGACAACTCCCCCTCTTTCTTATGACTTCTGTTAGAAGCTTTTATTGCATATTACATTAAAACTGTGTGGTGTTTATATCAAGAGTTTGACCATATGATTCATGAGCGGGCATTTCTATACTATTACAAGGGCACTCTACTAATATACTGTACAAAAGGGTCAGATCATATTTCTCTACCAACTCATTCTTAATTTGAACCAGGAGACTAAGAATCAGGCCAACAGCTTCTCAGCAGAGGAGAAGATGTGAATATTCTGCTGTGTGCTGAAACGACAACAAGAGGACACTTTCCTGGTTTCAGGTATGCCATCAATACCATATAAAGTATTATTGAAACACTATTATACACAATATATAAATAGGAATAGAAATGAAATATTGTCATTAATGGGATGTAGACAGCCAAAAGTCTATTGCACAGTGACAAACACTACAGCTTAGTTGTGTCCTGTTACGTGACTCTTATGGTTTTGGTCCGTCTGTCTGTAAACCTGATAAACTGGATTCTGCCACGGTAACAGCATTGGCATTATCAGCTTGCAGTCAGGTGAGATGTATAGATTACTTGTCTTTGAGTCAGATACAACACAGACACACCTGAGTGAGAACAAACAATGCAGCTTTTATTCCTGGGTATTTTGGACAATGACGTGTTTGTCATTTCTGAGGAAAAGAAAAATCATAACAGACTCCAAATGTATGTCTTTCAGACTGATTGATGTCAGTGACTTTGGTGCGATGTGTTCTCTTTGTTACGCAGCTTCTATTGTAGTTATGGTTTAATCCTGCATGTCTGTTTTCAGGCCTGGGTGTGACAGTGAAACTTGTGGTTAATCACAGTTAACTCCTGATTTACCGGCTCTGCATGTTGGGTCCACAAATGCGGACAGCTGTCTCTCTCTCCGCTGTCCAAACTTAGCCCATTTGAAGACTGAGCCTTCAAAATGAAACCAAACTAAATACAAAAAAAGTGGGTATCCTGCACTAAATGCCGGCGACTGAGACAGCAGCATTAACAGACAGTGTCCATGTGCTGGCCCTGACTGTATGTGATGAAGCTGTAAACCTTGAACAACACATACGGAATTTCAGCTTGTACAGCAAGAATAGAAACAGTAATGGAGGTCATGCATTCTTCTATATTCAAAGTGGCATGACAGTTATTCAGCGGTATGACTTGGATCACAAAGACCTAGAGATGATCTGGGTTGAGATTTACCTGCCAAACTCCAGACCAGTGTTAGTGGGTTGTTGTTACAGATCATCAAAAAGCAAAATAGATTATTTGCATAAAATCTGCAGAAAAATAGAAATGGTATCAAGTGAAGACAAAGACATTTTCCTTCTGGGAAACTTTAACATTCACTCGATGAATGACTCAGAGAAGAAGAAAATTGATTTTGTCTCCTCTGTGTGTGGACTGACCCGGATCATAAATGAGCATACCACAGAGACACGTACTCATCACATCTACATAAATAGTAGGTCAGACATTAGGCCAAGAGTGGAAGTCGTTGATCCTCTGCTCATTGTCACTGTACAAAGAATAAGTGAAGTGCCTGAAGACAACATCAGAGAAAATGAAAACTCTCAGGTCAACTCTCTCAGGTTTGAGAGAGTTGACAAGGAAGAGGTTAAGAGGTTGTTGACCCTCGTTGATTCTTATCTTCTACAAACTGCAGCTCCGTCCATGTCTGTTGTCATACGTGACATCCTGAACTGCTGGATTGACCGTGGCGAGATTCTGTCACAGAGACATGAGAGCTCTGTTTTCCCTCCTAATTTACATGCGATCCTGGAGAGAGTTCTCCTCCAGCAGATGGAGAAGCACTTTAATGAGTGTAGCCAGTTCCATTCAGGGGTCACTCTTAATGACATAATAACTGAGTGGACCACACATCTGGACAACAAAAAACAAGTCGGAGTTGTATTCATGGATTTCAGTTTATCCTCTGACATCATCAGTCCTGATCTGCTGATTCACAAACTGAAGTCTTACAATTTTTCACTTTCGGCTATTTCTATGATAAGAAGTTTTCTCTCTCATAGAAACAGCTCGTGTCACTGGACAGACACTCACTGTGAGCTGCCACGAGGAAGCTGCATGAATCACTTCCTGCGCTCTGTTTATACAAACTCTTTAAAAAGTCCTTGTGTTGTTGTGAGTGGCAGTCAGTTGATGATATATCAGGCAGCTGATAACTATGAGTGTTTAAAGAGAGTGTTGAAAGAGGAATCAGATAATGTGCGTGACAGGCTCAGAGAAAACAGGATGGTTTTAAAGACGTTCACATCAGCAAGGATCGACGAAAAGGAGCCAGTGAAGCAAATAGGAATTCGCCTCAATTCCACACTCAGTGTAAATGTGGAAGAGTTTAACTGGATCAGAGTATTAAGAGTTTTACTACACGAAACACCTCACTTGGTTTGGACATCTTAGTGAAATCATTCATAAAGAAAACCTTTGGTATCAACAGGAAGTGCTGTACAGTTTGCTCCTCCGCTTTTCCTCTGTAAACATTTATTCTGAGTTTATCAGAAGTGGAGAGTTTTGTGCTCCACCAGTCTGCACCGTGGACGTCTGTCTCGAAATATATTTAACTACAGAGGTGATTTATGAGACTGTTAGTAATTAGAAGATGTTGAAAGGTTGTTGACTTTACAGGCCATTGTATTTTAATTACTTTGTCATATTTTTTTTATTTTTTTGATTTAGCATAAAAACAAAAATATATCAAAAATATAAATTGAACAAATTGTTGCAGTGTTCAAAGCATCTTGCAAATATAAAGATATAGACTGGATTAGATAACAGAGTCTTTGGTCTTTGAGCCTTTGCTTGTATTGATGGCATTTAGTCCCAGTGTATTTCCTCTATAATCTGTGGTGGCAGATTTATTTTCTCATCTATTAATCACATATTTAATCATATCACACTAGTTATAGTAATATCACTTTCTCACTTTATATCCTTCTTAAGCCAATTCCTCATATTAATCATATTTTAATGGTCAACTTATCCATTTTATTTTCTTGATTTGTGGTTGAAGAAGGGACCAGCACTGTGTGAGTGTGATGTGATTTTTTTACTGCCTGTTGGGGTTAGGGATCGTTTCCTCTGTTCAATCATGTCCCTGTTTTGTAAGAACATTACCTGTGTTCATAAAAATAAAAAAACAAACAACTGTTTGAGACTTCTTCTTCCTGTTATTATTATTATTATTATTATTATTATTGTTGTTGTTGTTGTCATTGGGTCTTCACCAGAGGTGGGTCGAGTATCCAAAAATTGTACTCAAGTAAGAGTAGCATTAATTTACAATATTATTACTCAAGTAAAAGTGAAAAGTAGTTGATGAAAAGACTACTCAAGTAGTGAGTAACTGTTTGTAATGTTTGATTTATTTTTTAATGCTATGAGACAAACAAAAATAATAAATATACAAATTTTAGTATTTTCTAATAGAATATATGTAAAAACATTAGCAAATTAAGGCACAACAACTCGATTTTCCAGATTTCAGGTTTTCGCAAAACATAATGCTTTTTTAACCAATTACTACAGTAAGAAAATATAAATTTAAGAACCATTTTCAGTGACAAGACATGCTGTATACTTTGTATTCACTTTTACTCCAAATGGCACAGCAGCCTCAGGGAAAACACTAGAACAATGTGCACATACAGTGGGGCAAAAAAGTATTTAGTCAGCCACCGATTGTGCAAGTTCCCCCACTTAAAATGATGACAGAGGTCAGTAATTTGCACCAGAGGTACACTTCAACTGTGAGAGACAGAATGTGAAAAAAAAATCCATGAATTCACATGGTAGGATTTGTAAAGAATTTATTCGTAAATTAGGGTGGAAAATAAGTATTTGGTCACCTCAAACAAGGAAAATCTCTGGCTCTCACAGACCTGTAACGTCTTCTGTAAGAAGCTTTTCTGTCCCCCACTCGTTACCTGTATGAATGGCACCTGTTTGAACCCATCATCTGTATAAAAGACACCTGTCCACAGCCTCAAACAGTCAGACTCCAAACTCCGCCATGGCCAAGACCAAAGAGCTTTCGAAGGACACCAGGAAAAGTATTGTAGACCTGCACCAGACTGGGAAGAGTGAATCTACAATAGGCAAGCAGCTTGGTGTGAAAAAATCAACTGTGGGAGCAATCATCAGAAAATGGAAGACATACAAGACCACTGATAATCTCCCTCGATCTGGGGCTCCACGCAAGATCTCATCCCGTGGGGTCAAAATGATCATGAGAACGGTGAGCAAAGATCCCAGAACCACACGGGGGGACCTGGTGAATGACCTGCAGAGAGCTGGGACCAAAGTAACAAAGGTCACCATCAGTAACACACTACAACGGCAGGGAATCAAATCCCGCAGTGCCAGACGTGTTCCTGCTGAAGCCAGTGCATGTCCAGGCCCGTCTGAAGTTTGCCAGAGAGCACATGGATGATACAGCAGAGGATTGGGAGAATGTCATGTGGTCAGATGAAACCAAAGTAGAACTTTTTGGTATAAACTCAACTCGTCGTGTTTGGAGGAAGAAGAATACTGAGTTGCATCCCAAGAACACCATACCTACTGTGAAGCATGGGGGTGGAAACATCATGCTATGGGGCTGTTTTTCTGCCAAGGGGACAGGACGACTGATCCGTGTTAAGGACAGAATGAATGGGGCCATGTATCGTGAGATTTTGAGCCAAAACCTCCTTCCATCAGTGAGAACTTTGAAGATGAAACGAGGCTGGGTCTTCCAACATGACAATGATCCAAAACACACCGCCCGGGCAACAAAGGAGTGGCTCCGTAAGAAGCATTTGAAAGTCCTGGAGTGGCCTAGCCAGTCTCCAGACCTCAACCCCATAGAAAATCTGTGGCGGGAGTTGAAAGTCCGTGTTGCTCGGCGACAGCCCCAAAACATCACTGCTCTCGAGAAGATCTGCATGGAGGAATGGGCCAAAATACCAGCTACTGTGTGTGCAAACCTGGTAAAGACCTATAGTAAACGTTTGACCTCTGTTATTGCCAACAAAGGTTATGTTACAAAGTATTGAGTTGTATTTTTGTTATTGACCAAATACTTATTTTCCACCCTGATTTACGAATAAATTCTTTACAAATCCTACCATGTGGATTCATGGATTTTTTTTTCACATTCTGTCTCTCACAGTTGAAGTGTACCTCTGGTGCAAATTACTGACCTCTGTCATCATTTTAGGTGGGGGAACTTGCACAATCGGTGGCTGACTAAATACTTTTTTGCCCCACTGTATGTACATACAAGGCAGCTTACTTTACCATAAACTACCTGGGTGTGCATCAGTCTCTGCTTATTTAGCAAAAATGTGCCATTTTTTCACTCAGTAAAGTGATGGTCGAGCTTCAGCAGCAGTTTGCTCTCAAGGTTCTTTCTGTGAAGCTGTAACTTTTCAACAGTGAACAGGAGTCTTGCACTGTCTTTCAAAAGCTCCAGATGCAGGAAGAGCTGTATTGATTTTGATTGACTTCTTGATGTGGGGAAAATGATGCAATAGATCAGGGGCTGGCAACCCTGGGCACTCTTGCCACAGCTGGCATGAGTGAATTAATCTGAAAAGGTGCATTTAAAAAACAAAGGCCAGCGGTGCATATCACAAATTAGCTCGCGTAGACACATTAGTTGTGCCGCTTCTTATGACAGTATTTTAGCTAACAACCCCAACTACCAGATTCAACTTGTAAGAAGCTGAAACTCATCTAGACAACGTCTGACACCAGAGACCATACTTACCAAAATAAAACAGGTTATAATGAACAACAATGAGTGGAACAGCGGAGTGAACTGAGCAGCAGGAGGGAGGGCGTTTCTCCAAAACATGTGTCCATCACAATTATGGACAGTCGTGTATAATAAGTATATTTGTTCAGACTTGTCCAACACTTTTCTCTGTCAGTGTTTTACAGAATATCATCAAAGACTAATGATAGTGACCATTAATGTCACTGTGGAGATGCTTATTCCAGCATCACTGACTTCATGGTTCCAGTTTCCATCACTAAGGACTACATGTAGTGATTCTGCTGTTAGCCATGTTAGCACGTTAGCTCCAACAGGTGGTCAGTGTGAGAGCAGAAGATGATATCAGTGACATCCAAAGAAGGAGGTGGTCCATCAATTATCCACACAGGATCCACACAGCCACGCCCAGGTTTCCACCTCCTAGGAGAGAAAAAGGGGAAAGATACCCACAGCCAACCCACAGTATATCAACTACTTCTGGCGACAGAAAAACTGTGCCGCCAGCTAGATCGTTTCCCAAGATGATGTATGTCAATACCTGCAACCGGTAACTGGGGTCGCACCCCAAGCTTAACCTCACCAGACAAAAACTGAGACGAAAGCTGCACCAAGTGTAAAGGAACCCGTATTACACACATCCTAACTCCCCAGGCTAACACATCCGCCCCACAACAGGATTGAGCTGAAAACGGTAAGACCCCCTC